TACATACATACATGCACTTATACATGCATGCACATATACAATGCGTGCACATATACATGCATACACATATACATGCACGTATACATAAATGTATACCTATACATGCATACATACATACACATAACATACATACATTTATACCTACATACACATCTGCATACATACATGCACGTATACATACATACACATATATACATGCATACATACATACATATGTACACACACACATACATACATGTACTTATACATGCATGCACATATACAATGCGTGCACATATACATGCATACACATATACATGCACATATACATAAATGTATGCATGTATACCTATACATGCATACATACATACACATAACATACATACATTTATACCTACATACACATCTACATACATACATGCATACATACATGCACGTATACATATATATACATATATACATGCATACATATATACATACTTACATATATGATATTTTTTAATAATAAAAACAGTGTGAATTAATACTTAAAAGTCATTCTTTAAAATATCAACTTTGTCTTAAGCAGTCTTTTAATAAATTAATCATTTACTTGACTGATCTCATTAACTGGTGATGCATCAAAACAACAGTAATTATATAAAATCTCCACTTAACTTGGTTTGTTTTGCTATTTGAATTTTTGTAAAAAAACATTTTTTTAATGATTCAGCTATAACGCAACATTTTTATGGGATGGTTAGACATTTTATGTTGTTAAAAACATAGCTTTAGCCTTGTTTAATTTTTTTTATTATTTACAATAAATCAATTTAATGTAGAGGTAACTGTAGAAGAAACAAATACAAAATTATAGAGAGTAAAATTAATGTCCAGGCATTTTCTCTTTTCTCTCTTTAATTAACTCTTAGAACTTGCTTGTTATCCACCAAATACAATTATTGCATTTTGCTTTTCAGTTAATCAACATGATACAGGAATACTTTTTTCTACGTTATTGAGTTTATAGATTATTTCCTTAGATATCAAGGTTCGAATTTCAAACTTTCATTTTACTTATAGAATTCGCGTATAAATATAAGTAACAAAGAAGCTGATAACAAAGAGTAAATCGTTTTTTTTACTTAAAGATATTATTAAAGAAATAAGGAAAATATTTTTGGCTCATTTATTTCAAGCCTTTTTATGAATTTTTAATAAAAATGAAAATTTATATAAAATATAAAATAAATATGTAGGTAATAGAACAAAATTCCATAATAACGATTTTTACTTGATGAAGCCTTAACTGTTCCTCCTTATTACTTCCTGATAGGCATTTTTCTAGTGACAGGAATTTACACTACGTAACGGCACAATGCACAGAAATAGTGAGCTTTAAAACATAATATCGTATAAAATATCAATTAAAGAAAATATTACCATTTTATTTTGATTCATCTTTCGTTGCTTTACGTTACTGCAACACAACAGAACAAGTTTAACATGATTTTCATCATAAAATTGTTGTTAACAGTGAGGAACTTCAAATAAACAGATACATAACTTTTCCTTTATCATATTTAAAATATAAAACTAATTTAGTTATGGCTGAATTTAAAACTGAATTTGCGGAGTAAAATAATAGACAATTTTCATTTCTTCTGGAAGTCTATATCCTTAGATATTCCCCTCATCTGTTTATTCTGTTTCATTCATTCATCATCTGTTTTATTCATTCTGTTTTTTTTTTCAATTAATTTATTAATTAACCTTTTCATCCTATTACTTCTGCCTGTGTGCTCAGTTTTTACACTCTTTGATGTTGGAGCAGCATGGCAATTATAAGGTCTTAAACCAGTGGAATATACATTCAATCAAATAATGAAATTTTTAGGTCTTTATCCCCAACATATAAAAAGTGGGTTCATGCCCAAATGAAAAATAGACCCGTGTGATTGCGTCAGAATAACTGCACCTGTAGCAACGCCACCGAACATGAATGTAAAGGGTGGTGGGAGGTGTGCACTACTTACGGCGCTCAACAATGAAACTGTTTGTGGTAGGTAATCAAAAGTAAAGTCATGATACCTAGATGCGTCTAAGAACAACGATTGATCTCCTGTCCCAAGGAATCATTAACAATTTAAGACAATTCTACAGAACTCTGACGAAACTGCAAAAGCAATCACGTGCAAACGGTTAGGCATTTTCACACAACAAGTTATCCTTCTCCATGACAATATTCCCCAACACATCTCTGGGGATACCCAGACCCACCCAGGAAGACGTTGGGACACTCACATTTCCGTCCAAATGTATCATCCCGTAACTTCCACATCTTTGGACCATTTAAGAAAGCATTACAGGGGACGCGTTTCCATTGGAACTTCAAAGTGAAGGAAGATGTGGAGGACTTCTTCCTTCGAAATCAAACACAATATTTCTACAGCAAAGACATAGACCCGCTACCGAAACAATGGGTTCTGTGAGATATATTTTGATTTCCAATAAATCTAATATTTTCAATAAATATATTGTTCTCAATTGGGTAACCCTTATGTGTCTAATAAATAGATTCCGCCAAAAAAATGAAAATTTACAATCTGCATAAGTATGATTTGAACAATGATGGTGCAGTTGTTAAAGCTGTATTTTTGTTGGACTGAAGTTTTTAAATCTTCTGTAGCTGCTTGGGGCCCACACAGCTTCAGAGTGATTGATACTAGCTAGTCTTGGGAGTAAAGATGGCCAAATTACATTTCACCATATAAACGTTGGTATTTAAATCGAGAAGTTTAATGATCTTCTTAGACAAAAATCATCTTCACAAATCACATTTTCTGATTATGCAGAAAAATAATAAATTTTTGGTAAACACTCCAACAACAATTATTTTTAGTTGTCAGTACAGATCATATACATGTTTGGCAACATGATATTTCTTTAAAATTTACAAAAGATATTTATTATAGTTACATACATAAAATTTATTAAAACTGTTATGAAATCGCCAGTTTTCTATTTTCTGATCTATGTTTTTGTTTGTATTACAGGCAGATATGAGAAGTGTAATTTGATATTTTTAAGAATTCACATTAGGATTTATTGTAAAGTAAGTGCATTTTAAAGTATATTCTAATTACTTTCATAAAAACACTGCGATTTAACTGAGAAGTTTGCATTGAAAATATCGACAAAAGTATTTTTGAAATTCAAAGATAAAGCCTCATTCTATCACTCAAAATGTAATTTAGCAAAAATTAAGTTTATATATAAGACTTAATCAAATTCCTAATGTCACACTTAGGAAAAATTAATCCCAGAGTTTAATTATTTCACGAAAACAAAAATTCTAATGATTTTTCAGATGCGTGATTTGCATTTACTTAGATAAGTTTAAAGTCAAGGATACAGATTGCAGCATAGTTTCTAATTAGTTTTAGTTTTTATCAAAACTTTTAATTAGGAAAATCACTAACCAATGAATAGACTACAGAATAACTGCTAGCTAGCTACAAAAGAAATGTCTGTCAGCGAGTACAACGAGAACGCTATTTTTCTTTATCGTAATAGTGCATTATGAGTAACGTACGAGCCGTTTATTTGAAAAGCGGTGTAAGTTTATCCGTTTTTAAATTACATGATTTTATACATTGTGGCATATTTTTAAGCAGATTTTGTTTCCAATACTTTGAAATCCCTAAAAAAAGAAAATTTAATAAAAGAGATTCCATTTAAGTACAACAGCATTTTCTTCTAATATTTATAATGATAATTTCGTTAGCTTTATGACTCATGATTTTAGTTAGCTTAATTATGATTTTAGTTAGCTTAATTATGATTTTATGCTATATTAGAGTTGCTTATTTTGGAATGAAAAAATTTACTTTTTTTAAAGTGTGGCATAGTTTTTAAATAATTTCAGATTTATGACGAAAAATTAAATTCATGAAATTTACCAAAAAATACAATGAAATACTGTGACTAGATCTGATAGCTTCCTATAAGCTGATACTTCAGTTGCCGTTTGATATGTCTTCGTTTAATTATTGGAATAATCTAAATAAAGCAAGGATATAGAACTACAATAAGTTGAAAATTTATGAACACTTTATACTTAGCTAACAAGTGTTTCTCTAAGTGATCTTTTCTATAGAGTAAAACAACTTTATTATACCTTGACACCATTATTATAACTCTACACACAGCCGTGTGAAAAAGCTGTGTCTCCTTTTGTCACATATATGACAAAATAAATCATAATTCTGGTAATTAAACCAAAACATACGGTATTTAAGAAATTTATCAGCTAATTTTACCTTTCACTATTGTAACCGTTTACTAGAAATTCTGGTTTTCAAAATTATTGTACTTATTACTATGCATTTATTAACAATTAGAAAACTGAAAAGTAAATAATTAAAACTAATGATAAAAATCACAGTTATTGGTTTGTGATTTCCTGTACTATCACGAAACGAAATGACATAAGGAAGAAAAAATAAGTAGTTATTACAATATTTCAAATTTTTAAATTAATCTTGAAATTATTATTGAAAATTAATTATTGAAAATAAAGTATCCAACGTTAATTTTATTTTTTCTTTATTTTTTGGATCACTTCGTCACATTGTAAGAAATATTTAACAACCAAACACACGGTTTAATTAGCCTTTGGTATTAATATTCATTAATATTAATTAGTATTTAGCATTAATATAGCTGATTAATCGAAAAAAACACTGATGCTATAAAGCTTTGAAGTAACTTTTTTCCCTTATATCGAACTGCTTTTGAGACATAAACAGTTCTTAATCTGTGGCGCTGTAAACAGTCTCAGTTTGTAGCGTATTGTCACTTTTCTATACCTAGATACCACTTTCATTACTATGGCTGTAGTTATTCGAAAATTAAAATTCCATTTTTAGGGGTCATTATTGCAGCCATATATATGCTATTACTTTATTATAGATAAAGAGATAACAAATATAATATAAGATTCTGAAAAACAAACATATATATATATATATATATAGTACATAAATTCAACGAAAAGTAAATCTGAAAGATTATTAAGAAAGCAAAGAGAAAACAAATGAGAAAAAATGTGAACAAGAACTGTATATCGTGTAAGTGAGAAAGGTTCATTTATATCTCAGTGAAAAACAGTTCACCAGTATTTTTGATAGTTTAGTAGTACTTTTTTTTCGAAAGAATGCCTACAGTTTCATCAACATTGCTTCAGAAACAGTAATAAATCAATCATTTCAGAAAAGGAGGAAAAAAAATGAGGTGGTAGGTGTACAGAGTGGCATCATCTGCTACAAGGTTTTCTCAATCTTTGCTACTCGCTAAAGAACTTAAAAAAAGAAATACAAAGAACAAAAAAAAAATCTTTAAAAAAATTGCACATTTATAGTCGCGGACTAAAATTGTAGAGAAAAAAAAAGATCAATAGAGTGACATTGATCGAAACGAAATCGATGAAAAACTCCTGACATATAAATGGCCTGTTTCAATATTCGTATTTGTTCGAAACGATTTAAAAGAGAAAAAAATGGAGACCATGTTGAATTCAGATTCAGTTTTTGATTCCCTTAGCAAAACACTTGGGAGCAGATGTCGTCAAATAGCACGTAGCACGTGGTATATTGTTATACCTCTCAAAAGTGCGAAGGTAGTTTTAAAATTCAATTTCAAATTTTAGATATATTTTAGGTATTTCTTTGAAAAATCGTTTAGTTTAATTCCCTATAGATATATGTTTGCACATACGCCTACTGCTTCAAGTTTAAAGTGTCTTGTGAAAAGAAATTATAATTTATTTTTGTATTTTTATCTTTGCCTTAAAAATATCTTGTACTACATTTTAAATCGAACATAAAATTTTATTTTTAAACTCAATTTTAACTCTTTGGATCCCTAGTAAGTTTGTATGGAGGTAAAAAGGATAAGAGAAAAGAGAGATTAACGAAGAAATTTAAGAAAATGTAGTAAAATAATAAACAGTTTTATTTACTGCGCGCAAGCTGCAAGTACATATAGCCCATAAAGTAAGCTAGAAATGCAAAGAAAACAAGGGAAAAAATGTAATGTGCAGAATTTACAAGCAAAAGAAAATACTTACTTTAATATGATTTAACTTTAAAGCTTCCCAGTTTTGTATAAAACAGTGATGATTAGTAGTTAGTGTAGTGAACCTTTTAGGAGTTTTTTTTTCGTGTCTCTCTTTATCTAGTTTTTAGCATCATATAAATTTCTAAATAGGAAATGCATTAGAAGGGAAGTAGAATCATATTAAAAATCGAATTATTCCTGAGAAAATCATGAAGTTTACAAACTTTGATGAACTTTTATTTTGAAAGCTAAAGTTACTGAGTGGAATGCTCGCTATGCAACATTCACACCTGGTAGAAAATATTTACTTCGTTTCTTCATTATAATTTTAAAGTAGTTAATAATTAAAAAAGATTTTTTTACGAAAATTGTATTGTAAAAAATTCCCCTAACAAGTCTTTTCAACACAAAAAAACGTCTTGCTAATCTCCTTAATTCATAGGGAAAAAAGTGTTAAGAAGGCCAGATTAAATTTAAAAATTAAAAAAAAACAAAAAAATTTCACTACGAAACAAGATAAAAAAAATAATAGCCTCTAGCTAATTCATTCAACTTCTTATAAGGAATAACAGAAAATGTATTATGAAACGCAAAATGTAAATTTAAATTCGATTTCAAATAGTTTCGAATGCTCCAACAAATTTAAAATCACACAAGGAAAACTTGAATTACTTGATTTTGGAGATAGGCGTTTTTTTTTTATTCTCGGCCCGCAAGCATGCATTTGGTGTTAAAAATATCAATTGTTATTAATATTTTCTGCTATAACTTAGCACCTAATTTTCAGGCTGTTGAATTTCTATCAGCTTTCTAATATTATTAATAATATTTTCAACGAATTCAAACAGTTTAGCTTGGGAACGTTTCTTGTAAGATTTCATATAACATTTTAATTATTTTGAGCAGCTTAGATGATTTCGCCCTTATTTATGTTATTACATGTTTATAGAGCAAATAGATATATTTTAAATTTAAATGAATTAAGAATGCACTAGTTTTGAAACTAAATAATGAATAAAAATGAAGTGTTTGAGTTCATGAATGTATGAAACATTTTTGCTTTAATAATTTTGAGAAATAGAAAATAATTCGCATCAATAACTAGCAAATTCATTTAATGCAATAAATATATATTTTTGAGTAGATTATTTTTAGTAATTGCATTTTTTTAAACTTATTTTATTTAAATCAGAACGAAAAAAATATCATTATTTTTAAATAAATTTTTTTTTCAAGATTTTACAGCAATATTAAGCAATTTTATTAAAATATTCATTTTTTTATTAATATATTTTCAAAATTAAATAGTTTTTTTACTTAAAGGAATATATATTTAGTCATCTTCATCCCTCTTTATTCAAAGTTCTTTTGATTGGATACTCCATAATAGCATGGTTGAATTGATCCAATCTCGTTTCATTTACGGCAAATATTAACGGAAGAAAAGATGAATATCTTTCAGTACAACGAATAACAGATTTTATTTTTCTGGTCCGCTTTGTAATTAGACGCTCAGTTAATGAAAGCTATGTAGTCTCTGTTGATACTTAAAAATATGTGTAGATTTATTCAGATGAGCAATTTCTCCTAAATTCAATAGTTGCGTTGATAAAAATGGAAAATGCTTTTATAAGTACTCTTAGATTTCATTAAACACTAGTGTTTAGAATTAGAAGATTTTTCAGTTCGAGTGAAAAGTTGCCAAAACTGCTGGTTAGATTTTAACTTAATTCAGTTCGAACATTGGTTGATATAATACAAAAAGTACTAAATCAATAGTTCTAATACGCAATTCGTGCGAAACACTCAACTTATTCGAAAAAAAGCAACAACTCTATTTACGGATTTAAAAAAATATTATTTAATATGCAGTATATTAATCTTTAACAGTCTTCCCATGGTTTGAGTTACGAAGGTTTTCTGACTATGATTTCATGCTTGAAAAACAACAGTTTATGAGTTGGCTCCATTCATTCGTAATTTTTATTTTCAAAT